TAAGACCTGCCAAAGAGGCACTTCCTTGTTTAGAAAGGGAAGGCCAGAGAGCTGGATTAGACACAGGGATCTGCACTCATGGTGTCTGACACAGCATGAGATCAGTCTCATCCCTCCTTTCACCTCAAATGCAGTCACACTTCTGTTGCCATACTAGGAATGAAAAGGCAGTGCAGTTAGATGATCAGGGACTCCTTTAAGATGTCACTGTAACACAGGTATTTTGAGATTAGTGACAAACTGGTCATCTCGAGATGGAGCATTTCAGTGAGAAGGTCACCCTGCTTTCCTCTGTCTATGGAGAGGGTTCAACACTTCAGGACAGAACTTGCTCTGTATAGTTAGGAGTGGACAGGAGCCCTAAAGGTGGAGCGTTTGCAGGAGCACTGAACTTTGGGTAAGGCACAGAATAGCTTTGCAATTATGTGGTCTTGATTATAACAGAAATATTTAGAAAATGTTAAAAAAAAAAAAGAGAGAACATGATCTAATACAAAATATTTTGATACACCTTTCAGATTTTTCAATATTGTGTTCATTTTGCTTTCTTGGTTACATTTTGTTTTAATATACTGGCTTTTTGTGAGGAGGAACTTTTGTGATTTTTATGATTTCTTCTCTTTCTTGTTTCTTTTTTTTTTTTCTATCTTTGAAAAGGAATGTGATTTTCAGAACTGAGGTGGGTCCTCTGCCCAGACTCCATCTGCAGCTTGGAGGGACCTGTGCCTGTRCCTGGCCCTGWACATCTCGAGTGCTGACCTAGCCCTCTTCCCATCCTRTTGACCTCACTCCCCATCTCTATATCAGACCTKYWCCCCYCATWACATCAAGAATCCCTTGTCAAGRGAAGCTTGGATGTCAACAAAACCCAGAGATGGTTGTAGGTACAAAAGKTGGCCCTATATCCACAGCATCAACCATTGCCTGACAACCAAATGRAAGACCTAAGGAGTGTATTGGATTTGGCTCCCTACCCTGGTAACAGTGCACACAGAGTCTTAGTTGAATGAAAAAAATAGGGCAGCCATCAGGGGTAATTTCGTGATGCAGTTAGCAGGTTTCCCTGTATAACTTGTCAAGTGTTTATGAACCACTTTTGACTGTCTTCCTGCTGCAGAGAGTATGTAGCTGGGAGCAGCAAGAGCAGGTCTGCTCCATACAGGAAGGGGAGCTGGGAGACAAGGTGACAGCTTGTCAGGCAGGGAAATGCCCARTAGATGAGAGGTGATGCCCCACAGTGCCCAGACGAGAGGAGCAGCACAAGTTTGGGGATGGTAGCTGGGGTCAGACACAGTCTGGTGATCACTAGACAAGACTATGGAGCTCTGCCCAGGCCTGCTTTGTGTGGGAGGATGGACTGGACACCCCCAGATGTCACTTACCACCAAATGAGTCCATGAGTCCATGAATGGAAAGATCCTGGGCACAGAGACAGACTCTCCTGTGCACTGCACT